CCTCCTCCTCCTCCTCCTCCTCTCCTCTCTCCTCCTCTCCTCTCCTCTCCTCTCCTGTCCTTTTCTCCTTCCCCTCCTCCCTCTTCCCATCCGCCTCGTCACTTCCCTGCGTTTCACTCACACAGTACAGCGTTTCGTGGCCCCATAGTGAGCTCCACCGAATGCTCCAGTGGCACAGGCCGCATGCGTCAACGCCGACCAGGACAGCGTTTCGTGGCCCCATAGGGAGCTCCACCGAAACCGGTACCCTCAATGCGGTACTCGCAATTGCATATGGATGGCTCCTTCGTCAAGCTAATTGAGGGGGGAGGATCTGTTTCTTTTGTAAGGTTTTGGATTTGTTTGTCTTTTGGAGGGTTTGGAGGTTTGGAGGTTTGTTGTTTGGAGGTTTCATTTTGAGATTTCTGGAAGTTTTTTTTTTGTTTCTTTTTATTATATAGGTTTTTTGTTGCGTGTGTGTGTGTGTGTGTGTGTGTGTATGGTGTTGCACACTCTCCTGGATTGGAGGTTGGCCTTGGGGCATCTGCGGAGCGCGGCGGGAGACCACGACGTTCTCATGGACCTCAGGTGTCGGGCGGGTGGTGATGGGGGGTGACCCAAACAGGGCTCGTTTCGATTCCTCCAATTGGATTCGATTCGATTGCGATCGATTCCGATTCCGATTCGGTTCGACTTGGGATTCCGATTCGGATTCCGATCGCTCAACGGAGGCCTACGAGCCTGCCGATTTCTGCCGATTCGACTTCTCCGGACTCGGCTGCCGACTTCTGCCGATCCGACCCGTTTCGATCGCCGATCCAATTTGTCGATTCGACTTTGGGCTCTCCTGCCCACATAGGGGGTGGAGAAGAGGGGTCCCAATGGTCCCTCAGGGCCCCTCTTGGGCCCCCGCTGGCTCCAAAGAGGGACCCCCCAGGGCCCCGTCAGGGCTCCCTTCTTCGCACCCCCTCTGTGTCCCCCCCCCAATCGCCACCCGCCCGAGGGAGGGGTCACAACAACAGCAGGTGGGAACAGCAACGTCAGCAGTAAATTCAACAGTATTGTCAACAGAGCCTACAAGTATGCAGGGGGGAGTGGTCGCCGCGTGGCCTTTGCCCAGCACCTGGCTGAGGCGGCGGCAGGGGACGCGGATCTGCCGCCGTTTCGCGCGCGGGATCTCCAGGACGCGCGGCAAGCGGCGCGGGATGAGCGCCAGCTGGCAGCGGTGGCGCGCAGGAAGCCGGGCATCCAGCGCGCCAGGGTGCGATCCCTCTTGCCCGCCTCTTTTCCGGACCGCCTCCACCTCCTCCTCCACCGCCGCCTCCGCGCGTGGCACAGCGGGGCAGCGCCCATGACGGCGGCCGAGATGAGGGAAGTCTGGGGCGAGCTTCGAGGGGAACTGGTCCGGGTGCGACCGTCCTGGCGCTGGGCTTCTCCTCAAGACGGCGTGTGGCGGCTGGACGACCCCTGGACGCAGGCACGTTCTCCAGCCTCACGTGCCCCTGCCTCGCTGGTCTCCTCTTTCCTCCCTCGACCCCGACCCCTGCAGACACGATCCGACGCTGGGCTCTCGGCATCTTCTATCCTCAGGAGGGGAGAAAAACGCACAGATACAATGAATCGTCGATCCCCAAGAAAATATAGGAAAATATAGGCAATGGGGGGGCAGACGCAAACCAATCAGATATTGAAACATATGGGGAATCCTGGGATTTGTGTGTGTGTGTGTTTATTTGTGTGTCCCAGGGCCCGTTGAGATCCTCCTTCTGGTCCGCTCGCTCGTCGCTCCGCCATTCGGCGAGTCGTGTTGGCATCTTACACTTATGGTTAAGTCGGGCCTGTCCCTCTACAGTCTGCAGGAAGAATATTCCAAAATAGTCAGAAAATTGCCAGGGGACGATTTGATGACTATTTTTTGAAACATTTTTGGGGTATTTTTTTGACCATTTTCCATTTTTCCAAAATCCGCCTGTAGGGGGACACGCCCGACTCAAACATCTGGCAAGGTCTGACAGGGCGAAGAGCGCCCATCCGCTGCCGCCGTGGCTCGTACGCTTCAGGCCGCGGTTTCGCATGCCAAGAGTGAACCGTTAGCGCTCGTCCTGATCACTCAACATGTGCGCCTCCTGTCCCCCTCCTTCCCTTTCCCCCTCCCCCTCACCCTTCTCCCCCCCTCAACCAGGTTCCGGGATAGCCTTCTGGGAGCTTGATTTCTCACATCGCAAGCCGAGTTTGGTGGTTTTCAGTGTAAATGTGTGCCCCACTTCGGCTCGTCGCCACGACTGTGGACACCGCGGTGTTGGCGCCAATGTGCGCGATGCCGAACATTGCCGCTCGTGTTTGCCAGTTGCTCATGCTGGACACATGTCCGCATCAGCACAGGGCTCTTTCAATATCTTTGGTGGTCGACTGCCCACACAGCTCGTCCCCTCTCCATGTCCAGAGGCTGGTCTCTATGACCGCGTTCGGCTGTCGAAGCATCCAGCCGTCGTGGTCGACGGACCGCCGCGCCGCAGCGTACTTGTCCTCCTCCTCCTCCTCCTCTTCCTCCTCTTCCTCCTCCTCCTCATCCCATCTGCGCCCCCTCCCCCTCCCTGCCCCCAGCGGTGTGCTTCCTACGCAAGCTGTAGGTGGAGGCTTCTTGAAAGAGAGACCCGAGGTCGCGACGACCCATGGTAGGCTTGAGTCGGTCGGGTATGTCCCTGTACAGGAAGAACATTCAAACATAGTAGAACACAGTCTGGGGAAAGTCGGGCATGTCCCTCTACAGGAAGAACATTCAAACATAGCAGAAACTAGTTTTTCATATTGTAAGAACATCAATGTGTGTTGAACACACATAAGCTTGTAGTACATACACACATATTCAACAACTGTTCGGAGTATTTTTGAATATGCTTTGACTATTTCTAATTTTTCGTCCACATTCCGCCTGTACCCGTCCTAAGGGGAGGCTTGCGCACTCAGGATGGTCGCCGCCCGTCGAGGGGAGCTCCTGTGCAACAGAAATCAGGCCGCACGCGGGCGAGCAGGCGCCGTTTATCTGTTATCCGTCGCAGGGCGTCTCCAGGCAGCACGATCCAGGACACGATCGGGAACTTTCTGAATCCACATTCTTAACCATAAACGCGATGCATACTACGATCGGGAACGGTCCATAATACATCAGCATAAACGATCTATAATCAACTGCACACATGCACATGCACGATCTTAGGACACTTTCTTAATCATCAGCGATCCTGAATACGATCGTAATCTTTTGCTTGCACCCATGAACATTCTGAAGACAGATCATGACAACGAATAAACATGTAACCTTTGGCAACACTCTTTACGTCTAACTTTGGACTAGTAGCTCTTTCTCTTCATTGAGGCTTTGTTCTTAGCAACTCGAAGAGGGGCGCTACGCTGAAAATTATCCGGGCGAAAGATCAACCATACGCAGTTGTGAAAACCACGTTGTGGGTAGCCCTTTCGGTGGAGCTCCGTATGGGGCCACGAACCGTGTGAGGAATGTGCCAACATTGAGGCGTCGGGCGCATGCGGCCTGTGCCACTGGGGCCTTCGGTGGAGCTTTGTATGGCCACGAACCGTTTGAGGGGTGTGCCAACATTGAGGCGTCGGGCGCATGCGGCCTGTGTCACTGGGGCCTTCGGTGGAGCTCCGTATGGGGCCACGAACCGTGTGAGGAGTGTGCCAAAATTGAGGCGTCGGGCGCATGCGGCCTGTGTCACTGGGGCCTTCGGTGGAGCTCCGTATGGGGCCACGAACCGTTTGAGGGGTGTGCCAACCTGGAGGCGTCGGGCGCATGCGGCCTTTGCCACAGGGGCCTTCGGTGGAGCTCCGTATGGGGCCACGAACCGTGTGAGGAGTGTGCCAAAATTGAGGCGTCGGGCGCATGCGGCCTTTGCCACAGGGGCCTTCGGGGGAGCTCCGTATGGGGCCACGAACCGTGTGAGGAGTGTGCCAAAATTGAGGCGTCGGGCGCATGCGGCTGTGCCACGGTGGCCTTCGGTGGAGCTCCGTATGGGGCCATGAACCGTTCGAGGGGTGTGCCAAAATTGAGGCGTCGGGCGCATGCGGCCTGTGCCACTGGGGCCTTCGGTGGAGCTCCGTATGGGGCCACGAACCGTGTGAGGGGCGTGCCGAAGAGGTGGACATGCGAAGAGCAGAGGCAAGGGAGGGGAGAAGGGGGGGATGAGGAGGAGAGGAGGAGGAGTGGGAACGCGGTTCGCTGTGTTTCCAAAACGAGGACCCAACGCCACAGGATGGTTGGGACAAAGAAGCATCAAATTCCATGGGCTCCAGATTTCGCTCAAGAAACATCGAGACTCTGGACTGGGCCCTACGCGTTCTCCTGGAGCTCTTTTTCTTCGCAGAGTGTTCGACGATGTGGGCCCAGGCTGCCGGTTGAGAAAACGCCTGGCGTAGAGTTCATCGTCTGAGCGTAGAAGGTTTTTAGCTTTACGCAGGGGTGCAGAGTGTCGCGCCGCCAGTTCTGGCCCACCACGCTTCGGCGCGACACGTCCTGGTCCCTCGGCGTCAACGTACTGAGCCTCTCTCGGCCTCCCGCCCCGCGGAGCGGAGCGACGCGCTGCCAGATTGCGGCGCGGAGCGTGCCGCCGGGACCGCCGCCGCGGCGCGCGGACCGAAAGTTGCTGGCCGCACCACCCCCCTCGTCCCCCTTTCCCCTGCCTCCTGCCTGCCTGTCTGCCTGCCTGCCTGCCTGCCTGCCTGCCTGCCTGCCTGCCTCCCTCCCTCCCTCCCTCCCTCCTGCTTCCTCGTCCTCCTCCTCCTCCTCCTTTCTCATGCCTCCTCTTCCCTCCCTCCCTCAGGAGGAAAAGAAACACACAGACACAATTAATCTTCGATTCCCCAGAAAATATGGGAAAATATGGGAAGTGGGGGGGAAGACAGGAACCTAGAAAATATAGGAAAATATAGGGACTATCTTTTTTTGTGTGTGTTTATTTGTGTGCCCTGGGGCCCCTTCACTCCCTCCCCACTTCGCGCCGTAG